TGAGCTTATGGCTGCAATTGCTCGTGCCCCTGAGATTCTCAAGGGCCTTCGCAAAGACCGCATCGATCTTTTGCGCGACAAACTGTCGCACCTCGGATGTACTGTTTCGCTCGCGTCCAAGATCAGGGGACCTGAGCTCATCACAGTACTTGCAGCCACAGCACTTTGTGACGTCTGACTAGGTTCCGAAGACAATGTGCAATTTGCCGACGACTCCAGAGTAATCATGCATGGTTTGATGATTCTATTACACTTTGTATTTGATGTCAGTGAATATATGGCCAGAGTACGTGCAGCATTCATCCTGGTACAAGCCATTTTTCGAAGCAGTTGTCGTGCTTTGCGTATTCGTACCTGGAGACGGAGACTGCTGCATTTACAAGGACTCAGTTTATCGGAGTTCTCTTCACTTTTTGAACAAAGCAACACAGTCTACAATCTCCTGATGCCTTTAGTAGTGGATGGAACCATGCTTTTGGTGGTCTCTTGTAACGTCGCAAGTTCTACATTGGGTCTGCTTCTGTATCCGTTCATTCTCGACAAGATGCCCGACTTCGTAAATTTCGTTTGCTACATCGGGGAGATTTCTGCAATGCTGAGTTGACGCTACACTTCTTCCATACCCGCGGTGATCTATTTGAGGCTGTCAATATACCCATTCATGTCTATGAGACTTTGCTTGAAAGCCAGAGCTGCCGAAGATTCGTTTATTCATTCTTGGAAGCCTCAGTTGAATGCTCCCTGGATTGTCCGTCTTAATCCCACATCCACCACTCGATTTGCTCAGCCTTTTACCGTCAAATCAAGCTACGGCAGTCCTGGAAAACGACTCTGGCTTCAAGTACGTCGCAAACTTCGTACCTTGGGACTACTTCGGTTGTATGAAAACATCTTGCTTGAACCTTATGACAACTGGTTACTGTTGATGAACGTTGCCAATGGAGGCATGAAGGCGTTGCAGACTGAGAAGTTCACTGAGAAGCGGCTTCGAAGTGCAGATTTCCATCATCATCAAGTTTAGGCGCTTTATCGTATGCGCAATCTCTTAGATGACCCGCCCCAGACCGCTGTACGTTCTGTTCTACGTCGCATTCTCAACTTCGGCAATGTGCTGTTCCTCGTGGCCCCAAACCTTTGGTCTTACCTTTGCGTGCTTTCAAACAGCTGTTGAACGTTGGATCAGTAGTATCATTGTTCGCACCAAGGAATACATGATCCCGTTTCACCTTCCTCATCAGAAGTGCGTAGCTGGTAAACACCCATCATTGCGGGGCGTTATTTATAACAGCATTGCCCTCGCCGAACAATGGACTTGGGATTCACCTCCACCATGCAACTGTACTGCATTGCGACTTCAGCATCCTGATGCTCATTTTGTGGACGGATACATTGCTTTGCCTTTGTCTCAGCTCAGTTTTTCCAAGAGACTACGACGTCTTCTACAGTACTCCATGGATTCACAGCTGCTCCCGAACTTGTATCATTACATGATTTTCACTTGGCCTGTTGTTCAACGATGGTTGTCTCATCACATTGTGTTTACTGTTTCGTATGAGGATTGGGAGACCTTTATTCTGCAAGAATGGGCACAACACAAAGATGCGCTTATACTCGATTGAAGTACAAAGATGCTGTCTTTATAAGGAATTCTTTGCGTGGACTTTTTCTACATGGCCGTGATATGCCATTACTCATGGACATGCGTTTTGTCTTGTCAGCGATTCGTGTGGCAAACTTACAAGGCTACCTGTGGTGACACGCAGGTGTATCAGCAACTACCCATGCGGCCAGTACAGGCGGATGAATTTCTACGTGCAACCTGTTCCCGACCCTTTCTGCGACGCCACAAGTCGGGAATTAATCTACGCACCTCAAGCCTACCCATTGCATATCTGTTGCTCAAACAGAAAGACTTTAAAGGCGCCAGGCCCATCATTTCATGCATCCATTTCCTCTACGCAAAGCTATTTTGCGCCACAGCCATCGCTCTGGAAGTCATCATGCGTGCCACCTGCCCTCGTTCCTTTGGTCCTTATACTTTTCTATTGCATACCTCAGCAGCTCACCGCGTTTCTTCAGCAGCTTCCTGATGATGCACATGCCTTCAATCAAGATCTGGTAGGATTCTTCACCTCCATTCCAGTTTATCGCATTCTCAACGCCGTACCCTGGACCGTTAATGAATAGTGTACGCAGCAAAAAACTAGCTGACATCGACAGCATTTCTTTCTCCGTCAATCTTCAAGAACAGGACACTAAACTACGTATCTGGCGTGGGCGTCCGAGAAAGGCGGCAAAACGCACCGTCCTCATTCATCTTGTTGACATCGTCGACATCTGTGAACTTAGCTACGACGCCAGTGTCTTTACTGTTATGCACAAAGTTTTCAGAGTGTCGGGGAGCTACCATTGGTAACCAGATTTCTCCTATGCTTGCTGGACTTACAGTATCCATTGAGGAAGAGATCTATGTCCGCCATCTCCAAAGTTTCTTTGATACCAACCAGGCCCTTTTCTTTTGCACTCGATACGTTGACAACCGACTTGTGATTGTATCTGACAAGATTGTTGCCGATTGTCGACTTCAGCATTTCCTGCGCAACAACTTCTACCAGTACCCTGTGGAGCTTGAACATGTTACCAGCACCTATGCTATTGAAGAGTTTCTTGGATTTGACCTTCAACTCAATCATCATCGACTACAATTACTGTTACGGCCTGACTATGGAAGATTCGCGAACCCAACAGTGCAGGCCCTGAAAGGCATCGTACAGCAGCTTTTCAATGTGCTAGAATCCATATTGAACGTCATGTTTGGCCTCCTCATATCCGTGATGAACAGTTTCGTCGACTTCGCCAGAACTTTACAGCTGTTGGCTACCATCACCTCTAATACTCTAATGTTTCTTTTGCAACCTAGTGCCTTGTCTTTTCGATCTTTTCTTGCTTACTTTCCGGCCATGCGAGCGGACTCCATGGGTTCAGCTCACGATCCGCTTCTACCACTTCAGCGGTGGATTCAGTATACCCAAACGTAGCTACAACAGGTTCGAGCCGAATTGACACATCGTTGTGACGAAGATACTGCGGTCCGTCGCATTCAACAAGCACAACTGGATCCGCTACAAGTTCAAATCCGAGATCTAGCTCGACAACAGTTTGAGGTCTCTGATCAAGTCACCGAGATTGCTAACACCGTTGCTGAGTTGTTTCACCAAGTCAGTACTATTCGACAAACCGTTAATCGAACAATGAGTGATGTACTTCGACACGTTGACAGCCCTCCTGTTTTGCCTCCTACACAGCTCGCCGCTACCCAACCAGAGTTTCACGCATCTTGAGTCGTCTCACCTTAACATCAACACATTGTGAAAACCCGCAAAAGAACTTGTCGTGGCTACTTAATGTTGCATTGTATTCTCTTCAGCGTTACATGTCCGCAGCATTTCAACTTACTGATAGCTGTGCGACTACCCATTGTGCTTTTGTGCCTCGTTATGACCAAGCGCTCAGCAGATTTCGCCCAGATCAACAACAACAACAACAGTCGTTTGCGCTTTCAGATCAACATCCCCGAGAATTTCATCCCAGCAGAATCTGGACTTCCCCGTATTGCGTCCAGCAGTCAGCCATCTGTTGTCGAGATAACCATGCTCTCCGGCGACTCGACAGATCTGCTCAAGCGCTCCATTTCAGCTCACATGTACGAATACACTTCGGTGTATCGCCCGCACAGCACTTTCCAACTGGTACAAGGCCATCGACATGTGCATTTCTGGGAGCAATGAACATGTTTCACCTTTGATCAACCCGTTGATGTTGTTGTTACAAAGCTTGAATTTCAAGCACCTCCCTCAACGGCCGATGACGACATGGGTTCATGATCAGTTTCACCTGTAGCCGAAATTTTCTGTCAACAGCGTTAAAACTATTCGCGGATTGCTCTGCCGTGCGCTGTCATTACCAACTTTGGATAGTTGCCTTGCATCTCGGTAATTCTTTCTACCGGGTACTCCCGATGGTGTGTGTGTGGCCCTCCTGTTCCAAAGGATCTAAACTAAAGTAATGAGAGTGGAGTGATGTTTCAGCAGGGGGCCAGTGATTCCATTGGTGTGCATTGCCCAACGAAGACCGCACCATTAGAATGCGATATCAGGAGAGGACGCTCTCTTGACGTACCTGCTTTTCGGAATAGCCAGTGGGCCCCCTGAGGCACTGGAAGAGAAGATATGTAGCAAGCTAGCACAAACGCATCCATCTAAGAAAGGATGACTGGTCTGCAAGTGTGCGTGGGCGTGTGCGTGTGCGTGTGCGTGCGCG